ACACAATGATCGAACTACCCTGCTCCACCTCTTGTATTCAGATCCCTAGTGTTATTCGGATCGGATCCCTAACAATGTTTCGATAGATCCCTATCACTGTTTTTCTCGAGTCCCTTGCACTTTTCGGGTTTGATCCCTATCACTATGTTAACCTGCAACGAAAGGGTAGATGGCCTTTGAGTGAGGGAGACAGCAGTGTGGTGTCTGCTAATTGCATTCCGACACTCAAGTTAGATTACTGATCGGAAGCAATTAATGGAGGGGTAGAGTTTAGGTAGAGAGTTTGTCCATACCTTGGTGAGCTAATGAGCTTGATATTTATAGTATATTTTTCAGATTTAGGTACTACCCGGACCTAAAAAAGAACCTAAAGATGTAATGACCGAGCAAATCTCATAATTAAATAATATAATTTATGCATTTAAGTTAAGGACTTTCCTAGAGAATATCATGCCATATTTGTGACTAAAGGATTTATGAAATTAATATCAATATTCCTAGATTCTATAGCAAATTTTATGCTAAATTCATGTTTTACAATCAAGTAAATTCGGTCGATAAATTCTCGCCTCAATTTAAGGCGGAAGAATTTTCAGTACGTGTACAATTTGAGAATCTTAATTTCAAGAATCTCCAAGTATAGTACAGTGTTGGTAGCGTATCGAGAAACGCTTCGACATTCAAAAGAAATCCTTAATTGCTGAACAAATAAATTGAAGTCATGAGGATAATGTTTTTAGTAGAAGGATACAATATGAGCTCGGGAGTCGACACCGTCTGTGATAATGTCATTCTCGGGACATAATACAAAAAAGTTAAGTTTATAATTTATTTAGTCTAGAAATAAATTCAAGACTCGAAATAGTCTGAAATATTACGCAAGTAAATATTTAATTCGATATTGAATTATTCAGAAAATTAGTATTAGACTATAAATAAATAGTAGAAAAAGAACCATCGGAAACCAAAACTTCATGTCAGCTAGGCTAATCCTCTACAGTCAGTATAAATTTTGACTGCTTGAAATCGAATCTTAGGAGATAAGATCAAAGTACAAGACAAGATGTGAATTTATAGAGATTAGACTTGAGTTGCTAGTGATTTGATTGAGTAATTATGAGATTTTTTTCTCTCTTTTTTTTTTCTCCACATATGGTCGGCCATGCAAGGGAGAAATTAACCAAAATTTTGCTAATTAAGCTAACTTGATAAGCGTAATTAAGAGCTAAGAGGAGATTAAGTAAAAGTCTATAAATGTTAGATAATTAGTGCAAGCATCAATTTAGCCCATTTTGCACATTTCCTCTCTTTTTCCCACACCCCAAAAACCGGCCCTCTCCCTCTCCATTTCTTCTCAAAATTTTTCTCCTACTCTTCTATTCCTAAGGCATTAGCAAACATTAGAAGAAGAAGAAGAGGATCAAAGTGTTCTAGGAGAAGTCTAGCCAAAGATCTTTCTTCAAGGGTAAAAAAAAAAAACTCTAAACCCTCTATTTCTTATTTTCTAGCAAAGTTTGAGATTTAGAATGTGCTTCTCAAATTTTCTTCTACTCTTCTAATTCCAAGTCATTAACAAACCTTAGAAGAAGAAGAAGGTGATCAAAGTGTTCTAGGAGGAGTCTAACCAAGAATTTTCTTCAAGGGTATAAACTCTAAAACTTTCTCCTTTATTTTTATTTTTTTTACCAAAGCTTAAGTTGTAAATCATGGATGTAATTTGTGGTTCTTGAGGAAATAGGTTTGTATTAAGTGTGTGTGAGTTTTATGGTAGCTTTGGTATGTTTTGAGGTTAGTTTGATTAGTAGTATGTGGTATATTTATGCTTGATTTAAGTTTTGTTTATTTTGGTTAGAGGTAAAATTTTCTAGTTACTTTGAACTCGAAAATGAGGATCGTAGAGCGAGATTTTTTCAATATTCTAAGTTTAAACTTATAGTTCTCAATGTTTTGAACGTTTTTCTATGACTGTGAATAAACTCAGTTTTGATTCTAAATACAAGTTTTAAGCTGTTTTTCAAAAATGATGCATGTTGTCCAGAAATTGTTTTCAACACTGGCAGCCACTATTGCAGCCAAATGAGCCCTTTAGAGGCCGAATTTCAGATTTCTCTAAAAATAAAAATTTTAGATCTCGACGAGATTAAGAATTCCCGTGAAGAACAGATTTTCAAAATCTGAATCTAAGATGCAGTAAAATATAGATTTTTAAAACTATATAGTTTTAACTGGACAAAACTAAAACAGTTTTGGTTTTAATGAAAAATTCATCAAAGAACCCAATATGTGATTTCTGTAAAATATCATGGTTCTAGACCTCATTTAATGAAAAATATTCATGAAGAAAGTTTTCGAGAAAATGGTTTCTAAGACATAGTTTCACAGTGGTTTACAAACTAATTGTAAAATGACTTGTGAAAGAGTTTCAAAAGTCGGCACTCGAAAGAAAACTTATTTAGCTCTGATAAAGAGATTTTAATACTTGTAACTAAATAAATGAACAATCAGTTTTATGAAAATTGAACAATTGTTTCTTTTAAAACCTTAATAGTTTTCGAGCAAAACATCTAAACATAAACTTACGAGCCAAATGTATTAGGCCCTTAGATTTTCGAACGGGTCTAATGCCCCTATTAGTTCAAGAACTCCAGCTCAAGTCTAAATTTTAACGGTCTAAGAGTTAGAATGCCGTTGTTAAGTCGCTAGGCCGAATTGGGCTTTAATATCAGAATAAGCCTAATAAGGTAATTTATGGAGAATTAGCTACTAGATTAGATAATTGATTTTAATCTAGGCATATATAGGTTAAGGGCAATTAAGGAAAATAAGATTTTGAGGATTTAATAAATTGATCATTATAGTAAATTTTTACGATCATTTGATAAATGAAAGGAAGACACGCCTTAAGTAAAGGATTAGATTCCTTCAGAAGTCTGCTAAAATAGAATAACAAACGACAGTTAATTTCACACTCCCAATGGGTGTTCATTTTCATAAGTAAGCAAGTAAAGGAATATGCTATTTGGTGAATAGTGGATTCTAGCTCTGTAAATCAGGTAAGTAGGAATCTCACCTACAATATAAATAGATTTTAAAGAAAAAGTTACCAATGTTATATGTGCATGTTTACGCCTTATGTGATGCCATGCCATATTGCATATACCTTAATAAGCCAAGTAGAACTTATAAGAACAAACTCAGTTGAGTACCGTACCAGCCTCTGAGAGGGAGGTAACTCAGACTCCGCAAGGGAGATAGAAAAGAGACTAAGTATATAGTAATTTAAATCACGGTGTCGTTGGGGACCTTGCAAACCCTCACGTCCCGATGATTGCACACATATGGAACGAGAACTCGGGCCCATCAGTAAGTAAGATAAGATCAGATAATAAGAATTTAATAAGACATTATCATAATTAAGCATAATTGGCTCATGCATATTTATTCATGTAAACTTACAGTTATTTTGTGAGAGATAGTTTCTACTTGCTGAGCGAAAGCTCATCATAGTATATTTATACTGTAAGTAAGCAACCTGCAACTAATGCTTGATGGACTGATGACGAGACAGTGGACGAATGATGTGGAGATCGGGGAATTGATACCGCTCGCAATTATTTCGCAATCAGTTTTACGTGATAAATAGTTTTGTTAATTATGATTCTAAAACTATATGTTAAATGGTTATGTGGATTATTACTGTAAGTAAGCAAGACTTAAGGATTAAGTATATACATATAGATATATATATGCTTTGAAAACGAATATGTTAAGCATGAATATTTTAATCAAGAAAGCAGTTCGAAACTTATGTCTACTATATAAGAGTTTAAAAAAAATGTCTTATATAAATTTTAAGAAATTGCAGTGTCAGTTACAGTGATGGCCACCTAAGAGAGTCGTCACAAAAGGTAACCCGAGCGTAAAGTTATACCTGTCATATGACACATGTCACGCCCCTATAGATTGTGGGGGCCCTCAGTGAGAATTGTGGAGATGATGTCACGTGGTAGTTAGTTAGATGATTGGCCACTTGTCTTTTGCTTGGCAACTCAGTTTGTCGAACTAGGTGTTCGGCTTGTTCAGCTTAGTGGTCGGATCATATTTAATGCTCGGCTAGGTTCAGTGATAGGACCAAGTTCTTTGTCTGTTTAGCCTACTGGTGGGACTAGGTGCTCGCCTTGTTAGGCTAGTGTTCGGACTTGGTGGTCGGACCAGATTCTCAATCTGTTCGGCCTAGTGCTCAACTTGTTCTACCTAAAGGGTTTAGTGCTCGACCCGGTTCAGTGGTTGGACTTGGTGGTCAGACCAGGTTCAATGGACCCAGTGGTCGAATTAGGTTCTCTGACCTGTTTGGTCTAGTGGTCGGATCCAGTTTAGTGGTCGAACCCATTGGTCAGACTAAGTGCTCCACTTATTCAGCCTAGTGGTCAGACCATGCGTTCGTCTTATTCTTCCGGTCACGAAACCACCTCTCAATCCTTTTTAAGAAAAAGTATGAGAGTATACAATAAAATTAATTGAAGCTCGCCCCACCCAAAAAAAGGGAAAAAAAAAAGAAAAAAGAAAAAAGAAAAAAGAAAAAGGAAAACACTATCCACCCATAAATCAGATCCTTGCACAAAGTTGGAAACTTGAGCTCCAAGGAGCGGGAAAAAAAGTACTCTCTTTTGGGATCATAAAAAAAAGTATCAATTTTACATGTACAAAGAATACGTCCAGGAAACATACGACACACAAAAAGCAGAAAACGACAACAGAATCGTCCTTTTCCACCGTCCCTTTTCACTTAGGACAGGAGTGGTGTTGTGGGGCCCTTATTAGCTGGATAATTGAACAAAAAAGTGAAAGCATGCCAATGGCCTTTCATCATCTTTCCCTTTGCTAGTTTTCACCTGCATTTTTCTTTTGCTTTAATTGCAATTTATCTCTAAAACCAATCCATCCTTTCCAAGTCAACTACAGTTGTAGCTTAGGAAAAACTAAAATATAGGAATATCCCCGGTTGTTGTTCTGTCTGTTCCTTCTCTTTGTATTTTCCGCACAATAAAAAACAAAAGACTTAACTAGGTTCTTGTCTCTCTCATTGGATCCTCCAAGAAAAACTGGTAAGATTTTCTCACCAAACCAATGCTTCTTCTGTTGTTTGTTTCATATTAATTCCCTCGAGTTTGAATGTCCTCTCAGATATAAAGTCTATGACTTGTAGTTTTCACTTTTTGGTTTCTGGGGTTTTTTTTTTCTCCCAACATATAAACCTGCCTAAATTTCACTTCAGAAAATGACTACTTCAGCGGTTTTTCTATACTCAAAGAACTGATCATTTAGGGGGGGAGGAAAGCAAAACATTTCAGAATTCAGATGCTAAATTAGTTACAAAACAACGGATGGTAATACTAATAAGAGAAAGAGCTTTTCCTATCCAAGAAAAAGGCAAACTTGGTTAAGTATAAGTAAATTCACGCCACAATGTGGATATATTTCGTGAAACATACAGACTCAGGAATCTAGTTTAATTTTATATCTTTGCTGAGCTTCCGATGGTCCATCCAGTCATCTGTATTTGAGGGATTCCCAGTTTTATGGTTACTGCTATGACAAAAGTAATCATTAATTTTCTGATCAATCTCTTATCAGTACTTAAATAATTTGCTATGATTATTAATTTCTTGATATCCTGAGTATGCAAGTTAATAATATAATAATTTTTCTGTTCCCTAATTTTTGTTTGAAGTCCATGGCCAAACTGAGAAAGCATATTTGAGATTATCTTTTGCTCTACATAATATTTTTATCGCATATCCAACTCTTCAGAAACAAGGAGAGTAAATCCTGAAATTAAGTTTCATTAATCAATCATTTATCATTAACATTTTTTAAATCATTGTCTTTTGGAATCAAGAAGAGATTGGATTGAAGAAATTACTTTTCCTATCTGCTGTGGAGCATCAGAGCTATGCAATACAATGTCGCTGAATGGTAAAGACATAGACCAAGCATTTCAGAGTGCAGGAACAAAAGCGTATCCTTCCTTATGTTTGGATATTTTCTTTTTTACGTTTGATTTCATCACTGAGTTATAATAGTCATGACTAGAAGTTTCAATGGCATATTGGGATCTAGAAATGTGTCTAACTTCTACGAACAGATTTTGTTTGTAGATGTATAGCTAAATCTTGATTACCCATTAAAGATTGTTGCTTTATTCTTAACTAATGCTAGTGGTTTAGAAATCTGGTGCGTCGAGAACCTTCAACTGATTCCTGTCCCAAAGTCTTCACATGGGAAATTCTATTGTGGAAGTGCATACATAGTTTTGCATGTAAGTTATCTATATGTTTTGCTAATTATTTCCATTTTATGATCAATTAGAAGTTGGTTTCAGCATTGATGTGAAGGATATAAGAATTTTGCAACTGGAGTCTGACTATTTCATTTGGTTATTATCGTCTGAGACAGACAGTTGTGCCAAAAAATGGGCCTCCTCAGCATGACATACACTATTGGCTTGGAAATGACTCAAACAAGGTTTTCTTTTCTTTTTGTCCTTCTTTATATCTAATATCTTGTTGTATGATGTGTACACAAAAATAATAGAAACCCGCATTCCTAAAACCTTTTCCGTCATGGTTATTTTTTTTTCCCCGATTTTACTACAACTTTAAGTGAAAAAGGGAAAATGAATAGGGAACATGGGTTAAGAGGCTATCAAGGAGACAGCTTTAGAAGCTTTTCCACTTGGGAAATACTGTATCAGTTTTCCAGTTAAAGCATAAAACATGGACATTCATTTTGCTTTGGTAATTTTATTGGCAGGTGGACTCGGTTTTGGCATCGGATAAAGCACTTGAACTAGATGAGGCTCTGGGGTCCTGTACTGTGCAATACAGGGAAGTCCAAGGCCAAGAAACAGAGAAGTTTTTGTCATACTTCAAACCCTGTATTATACCTGTTGAAGGTGTGTATTCTTCACGGCCAGGGCAGTCAAGCGGAGAAACATATCAGATCAAATTGTTAACGTGCAAAGGAGACCATGTAGTTCATGTTAAAGAAGTAAGTGGTGTTTGAAGCTTTTGATGCATTTATGATATTTTAATAGTTGTCATCAAAGTCTTATCTCTCCACTTATTTGAACTTATATCCATTAATTCAGCCAGGATAAGGCCATGATATTCTAAGTTTCAATATTGTAATTGTCATTCCTTTCAAAAAACAAAAAAAAAAAAATTGTAATTGTCATTTTTTATTGTTTAAGTGAAACTGGTGTTAGTTCTGTTGTGTTTAACGCGCTTAACATTTTGGCACAAATGTGTGCTAGTAATATATCCACATCAATCTATTAGATTCAGAACCATAAAAAATCATAAGTTTATAACTCCAGTGTTTACGATTTGGACATTATTTTAAACTATTACTTAATAGATACCAACAACTGTATGTGTTTCTGTCAAGGTTGAGTATTGACTAAGCCTGTCCGCGTGGTTTGCATATTCACCAGGTGCCTTTTTCTAGGTCATCACTAAACCACAATGATGTGTTCATACTTGATACTGCATCAAAAATTTTTCTCTTTAGTGGCTGCAACTCTAGCACACAAGAAAGAGCCAAAGCCTTGGAGGTTGTACAATATATCAAAGATACTAAGCATGGTGGGAAGTGTGACGTGGCAACTGTAGGTTGGCATCTTCTTCCCCTCTCTTTTTTCCTTTTACAAAAAACATGTTGCAAATTTCTTAATCGTTAAAAAATGCTGCAGAGGATGGAAAGTTTGTTGGTGATCATGAAGTGGGTGAGTTCTGGAGTTTATTTGGTGGTTATGCTCCCATTCCGCGGGAATCACCTTCTTTCTTTCAAGATCACTCTGACGCACAATCTGGGAAACTTTTCTGGTGAGTTTCATACTAATCGTAAAAAACAAGTTTATGCAAGTTTAATCTTGTAAACCCCACGTATTAACCAGAAAGTCTTTATGTGGGAAATTGAGGCTGTCCATGAATAAGTAAAACTAAGAGATTTGTATGCAGTATGAAATATCCACATATGGACGTACTTATAACCCAGAAGGTTTTTATGTTTCAATGTTATGTTTTGTACAGGATAACTCTTCAGGGTAAACTATGTCAATGTGAAACTGATTCATTGACTAGAGAATTGCTCGAGGCAGACAAGTGTTATATGTTGGACTGTGATTCTGAGATTTTTGTTTGGCTGGGAAGACTTACCTTGGTCACTGAACGGAAGACATCAGTTTCAGCTGCAGAAGTAAGAACTCCTCTGCCCCCACCTTCTGTATGAGCACTAACAAGCACACACAAACACAAGGAAGAACCATGAAATGGTTAACTTTCATGTTCATGGATCCTAACATTGTAACCACCACAATTTCCCTCCTTGCTTGGCAGTTTCTTTTTGCTTTATATAGTCTTCTATGGAGAGTTTGTGTTTCTGCTCTTTAGCTTGGCCTCATTTTCTCCATACATGTATGCAATTTTACAGCTATATATGAAACTATTAGTTGACCAATAAACAGTTTACTATTTTTAACTTTCAAGTACATGGAACGCCATGTTTATAGGTGAATGTTAAGTCATAGACATTCGTGAGACCATTTTTCTATGTGATTACTGACTACAAGTTTACAGGATTTCCTAAGAAATCATGGCAGGTCAGCTGGTACTCATTTGTCTTTAATCACTGAAGGGTTAGAAAGTACAAAATTCCGGTCATACTTTACTAATTGGCCTCAAAAGGTTGAGCCAAGGTTGTATGAAGAAGGCAAAGAAAAAGTAGCAGGTTTAATTCCTTTATCAACTTCATTGAAGTCAAACAAATTTAGTGTAGATGTTACCAATGCAACCTTCAGACCTTGCAGGTTATCATACATAAGATTGTGATTATTATTTTTACTTTCTTTCCAGCAATATTTAAGCAGCATGGTTATGAGGTGAAAGAGCTTCCTGAAGAAGAGTTGGAGCCACTTATAGATTGCAAGGGCACCATAAAAGTAAGTTTTACTAACACAAGTCTCACAGCAATGCTAACAGTTTGGTTTTGAGTCACTCTCACTGTGGTGGTCAGGTGCCAGACATGTGTGAGCTATACACACGCACTGTCAAGCAAATGTCTGGGGTTAGGCGGAGTGCCACCCTCTTCATCCAAACTCTTTTTTTCAAGCAATATGTAACTTTTTTTTTCCGCTGATCCTTTACTTTGTTTTGGTGCTTCAGGTTTGGCGGGTAGATGGTGATGAATGGTCCCTTGTCCCAGTTCCAGAACAGAAAAAGCTTTTCAGTGGGGATTGCTATATTGTGCAATATACATATCCTAGCAATGGAAGGGATGAGAATCTATTTTATGCGTGGCTAGGTCGTGATAGTGTACCGGTAAGCACGGTTTGTCCTCCACATATTTTTGCTGTATCCATCTCAAAATCGGGCTGGTGTGCGTGTCATTTAGCGCTTGTTCTAATTAGGAGAGTAACATGGACATGGATACATTTTGCAGTTTGTGATTGTTCCTAAAAATTTTAATGGTTGTTTTTCCTCTTTAGGTGGATTAATTTCTTCTAGCCCTTGTGAATGTCATATCGTTTAAATTAATTCTTCTGGAATTCTATTCTCTGCTTGCAGGAAGATAGAAGAGATGTTATCACCCATGCGAATGCCATTATTGATTCAACCAAGGGAGAACCTGTTATGGTTAGTCTTCCCCCCCCCCCCCCTCTTATGTAGTGCGTCATCATCTTAATCTCTTCAAATGCTTTTGTTTTCTGATATACTGTATTCATATCATTAACAAGAACCGGTTTGATTCAGTGAAGTGCTAATTTTGTCTCATCATAGTATACTAATTTGTTTATGGAACTTCTTGCATTTATCTAATTAACTAACTACTGTACTATCTTGCATTTCTTGTAAAAATACTGTTCTCCCATTTACCTCACATATTTCATTTTCAGGCACGAATTTTACAGGATAAGGAGGCCAATCAATTCTTTTTCATCTTCCAGACATTAATTATTTACAAGGTTTTTACCTCACAAGGATTCTCGTTTCACTTAATGCTATATGCTCTCTAGTTTAAGTAAATCAAATAAAATCTCATAAAATGATGAAAAAAAAGAGGGAGTCAATCCAACAATAAAGATTAGCCTTTTTTTTGTTCCTTGTAGGGAGGTAAAAGTACACGATACAAGGAATTTATTGCAGAAAAAGGCATTGCAGATGAGACTTATGATGAAAGCAAGGAAGCTCTTTTTCGGATTCAAGGGACAAGTCCTAATCATATGCAGGCCATCCAAGTTGATCATGTAAGTTTGAGGAGCTGAGACTTGTATTAAAGTTGACACCACGGTGAAACCATAGACATTCCTATAATAAAATGAGTCATTTTCTATCATTCAAACTATTATTGCAGGTATCAAGCTCTTTGAACTCATCTTATTGTTACATCCTGCAAACTGGAACATCTATCTTCACTTGGATTGGGAATCTCTCTTCACCCAGAGACCATGATCTTCTTGACACAATGCTGGAGTTTCTAAATGTAAATTGCACATATTTTCTGACTTTACTGTTACTTGCTGTTCAAGTTTTCTAATTTCTTTAACCTGCAGCCAACATGGCTACCGGTATCGGTGAGGGAAGGGAATGAACCTGATATCTTTTGGGAAGCACTGGGTGGAAAGACAGAGTATCCAAAAGGAAAAGAAATAAAACTACATGTAGAAGATCCACATTTGTTTTTGTTGAACGTAGCTGGAGGTACGTAAAAAGTCCATTCTCCTAAGGTTTTTTCTCTTGAAAGACAAAATATTGTTCTGCCTTGTTCAGAATAATCCTGGCTGTAAAACCATGTCTAATGGTGGATTCTTTTTCGGCTGCTCGATCCAATTCATTATTCAGGTGATTTTAAGGTACATTTTCAGATACAGTTTCGTACTTCTGCTTATTTTATTAGTTGGTTTGCTTATCAGTAGCAAACTTTGAACAAAATAGTTTGTTGTGGTTACTTCAATTTTTCAAAATTCAGATGATTTCTATCACATAACGATATGCTTTTTCTATCTATTCTCTTGATTGATTGCTTATTGTTGCTTTTGAAATGTTTCAGGTGAAAGAGATATACAACTTTACGCAGGATGATTTAACTACTGAAGATGTCTTAGTGCTTGACTGTCACAATGAGATATATGTCTGGGTTGGATGTCGCTCAAAAGCCAAATCGAAGGAACAAGCACTCGCTTTTGCCCTGGTAAAGTGACTTTTCAAAAGTTTTTATTTGCAAAATAACTTCGGAGTTTAAAATTAGCGACAACGTTTTACGCAAAACGACCGTCATTTTGCTAATTTCACTTTTTAAGGCTGTCATTTTGGCAAACATAGTCCAAAAGGCTTAAATGTGTATCAAATTTCTTTTAGTTTTCTACCTTTTGACTATGATTTAGTCAGCTATATGCAGAGCGAATCCATAATTGGCCAGTAAGATAACAGATACTGAAATGAAGTGTCTATAAATGTTAAAGACCTTTATTTGTGTTCCTAACCCTTCTTTTACTCGTCATTTTACTTGGAACTGGCAGAAATTTATTGAGACAGACATACTTGCAGAAGAACTATCTTTGGAAATGCCTATATATGTTGTCAATGAAGGGCATGAACCGTCATTCTTCACGCGTTTCTTTGTATGGGATTCCTCAAAGGCAAATGTAAGAACGTTGCCCTTCTTAACACACACTAATACACAAAACACCTGCACTGGCACCAAATTGAAACCTGAAACTATGATTTGGGGAGGAGATAGAGAAAAAAGACTTCTAATTCATTTAATCTGGTGTAGTTTTGCTCCGTACAGCTACACATGTCCACACCTGTAAGACAACGGGAGAAATACAAATATACTATTGAATGAAAGAATGACTTGCTCACGTGAAATGAAGAACATATCATTGAACATTTGATTTTCAATGAAAAATTTGGTCATGCCATCTGTTTAAGAAAGTGCATCACTGTTCTTGTAGATGCATGGCAACTCATTTGAGCGTAAGCTGGCTACGTTGAAGGGGAAGCAACAAAGTTTAGAAGTAAGTGACTCCCGAGAACATATGCTTATATCTTGATTAAACTGTTAATCAAGTTTTACGCTTTCTAAGTCTTTCAAGCTTTGGTTTAATTGTGTTCAATGTCTGGATTTCGTACTGGTTTTACAACCAATTGCCTTGTTCCTTGCCATAATGTAGCACCCAAAGCTACCAAGGTGGCTAAATGTGTAACTAGATACAGCAATAATTGTAAGACTATTCTTAAAGTCATATGAATAATTGCAAGTTTTCTAAGGTGTTAGATCTCTATAACTAATCTGGCTCTGGAATGTTTTTCTTTTTCCCTTATTGGAAGGCAAGTTTTATCCTAGTTATGTTGCTCTGCAATGGATTATTCAGGCACCTATAAGACACTCACGGAAAGCATACTCAAGAGAGACCACACCCGAAGGCTTGAGAAGTGAGTTCGCGAGTCACATTGGCCGGATAAGGAGCCCATCTCCTGCGCCCCGTGTTCCGAGATCAAGTCGGAAGTCTCCAATCAATAACGTCCCTAGTCCACCTCAAACTATCAGGAACCTCTTTCCTGAGTCCCCTAATCATAGTAATCCTGGTATTTAAAGATCCTTAAATCCTTTTGCTTGAAGTTTTACAAAACAACTATTCTATTACATTGAATCTATCCACCCGTTTCAAACCAGGCAATGTGAGATCATTCTTCTTGTTTATTATATTGTTCCATTTACATTTGCAGTTCCTCCATCTGTAGTGACAAGATCACTTACAGAGGATGCGGGTTCCACTGAGGCCAACGGAAATGAGGCTGGCAGTGAAATAAACTTGCAAATACATCCATATGAGAGATTAACGGTGGTTTCTAGTGACCCGGTAAAAGGCATAGACGTGACCAAAAAAGAGGTACCGCTTCATTGTACTCAGCTGGAGAGCCTCATTATGGTTAGTTCCATGTTTGCACAACTATCTAATTCTGTCTTTTTTTTTTTTCCTTTTTATCCTTGTGGGTTTAGGCATATCTATCAACTGAAGAGTTTGAAGCCAAGTTCAAAATGACAAGAGCTGACTTTTACAAGCTTCCTAAGTGGAAACAAAACAAGCTAAAGATGTCCCTCAATCTTTTCTAGATCAAGATATCTTGGGATTCACATACTTGACTCACATATATGCAATGCTGAAGTTTTCTACGCAAGCTCTAATCCACGTTCACGCAAAGAAAACCTCATTCAAAGTTGAAACTAGAATGTTTGGCGTACCCATTTTCTTGTTTCTTTTCAAGATCATTCCCAAAGTCCAAATGAAAACGAGAATTTTATTATATGGTGAATGGTGGTAATGTTTTCAGTCAGGTCGACAATTCTCCTTGTATTGTTGTTGCTTTGGCTCGTCACCAAGCTGGTTGGTGAGACGCCATTTTTGTTTTCTTTTTGGTCCATTGTTTTTATATCTGTTTTGCTTGCATACAACGAAATGAAGTGTCGATTTAAGAGTTAAATGTATTATTAACTGACATTTTATAGAACTCAGAGTGACGTCTTTGACTATATATAATAAACAACTTGAAAAGCTATGAATTTTGTTACATTACTTGGCAACACTAGCAAGGAAACAGAGTATAACATGTAGTAATTCTCTACTTCAATCTGTGTTAGTTTTTTGTGGAAAACAAATATAAACTGTCTAGTACAGAAGAAAATTTCTTAAGCGTTTTCTTCTTCACCCAATTTTGGCTTCTTTGACTAGATGAAAGCAACAACAATGATAAAACTGCGTATAAAATCCCTTGTTCTCAAAGCATATACCATAAAAAAAAAATAAAATAAAAAATAAAAAGGGGGTTCCAAAATCCTTATCTTCTTGTCTTATCCAACATCACTTTATTACCTGTGGCGAGTGACCGCCCCCACCAGACAATTTTTAAGTTCCTTCCTTTCATTTTCCTCTGTCTCTAACAAAGTCTCCTTTTTTTTCCGGTCACCGGAATGGGTTTCCGGCGAACTTCCCTAGCCTCTATCATCTTCCTCTACCTCATGATTTCGTCTCATTCCCTCCACGCGCTCTCTCGCCGGAAGCACAAAATCCAAGGACCGATCAAAACCGTCGTCGTTCTGGTAATGGAAAACCGCTCCTTTGACCACGTCCTCGGTTGGCTCAAATCGACCCGCCCCGAGATCGACGGCCTCACCGGTAAAGAATGGAACCGGATCAACGTCTCCGACCCGAAATCCCCCAATGTCTTCGTCTCCGACGACGCTATATTCGTCGATAGCGACCCGGGCCACTCGTTCCAGGCGATCCGGGAGCAGATATTCGGGTCGAATCACGGCTCTGAAAACCCGGCTCCGATGAACGGATTCGCTCAGCAAGCGGTGAGCATGGGCGAAGGCATGCCGAGGACCGTGATGAGCGGGTTCAAACCGGGTCGCGTACCGGTTTACACCGAGTTGGCGAACGAGTTCGCGGTGTTTGACCGGTGGTTCGCGTCGGTCCCGGCGTCGACTCAGCCGAACCGGTTCTACGTCCACTCGGCGACCTCCCACGGCGCGACAAGCAACGTCCGCAAGGACCTCATCCATGGCTTCCCCCAGAAGACTATATTCGACTCCCTTGATGAAAATGGCCTCGACTTCGGAATTTATTACCAGAATATCCCCGCGACTCTGTTCTTCAAGAGCCTGAGGAAGCTGAAGCACGCGATCAAGTTCCACAACTACGCTCTGAAATTCAAGCTCCACGCGAGGCTCGGGAAGCTCCCGAACTACGTCGTTTTGGAGCAGCGGTACTTCGACGTTGACTTGTTCCCGGCCAACGACGACCACCCCTCGCATGACGTGGCGCTCGGGCAGAGGTTCGTGAAGGATGTCTACGAGATCCTGAGGGCTAGTCCGCAGTGGAAAGAAATGGCGCTTTTGATCACCTACGACGAGCACGGTGGGTTTTACGACCACGTCCCGACGCCAGTCTCAGGCGTGCCCAGCCCCGACGGGATTGTTGGACCCGACCCGTTTTACTTCCGGTTCGACCGGTTGGGTGTTCGCGTCCCGACGATTCTCGTCTCGCCTTGGGTCGACAAGGGTACTGGTGAGTTTTTGCTCTGCTTCTTCTTCTTCTTTTAAGGTTGTTTTGTTCTTTTGTTTCTTGTTTTTGGTAAATCTAAACCATGTACTTACAAGTCTTTGGTTGTTTTGCTGATTTTGGATCTTGGAGTGGTACATCTGGTTGCTTGATTGCCCATAATTGTCAGCTATGCTGTTTCTTGTATTGTTTGATAATTTCTCTCAACTTGTTTTTTACTCCCTAAGTGCAAAAATTTTCACCTGGAATTGGATTGTATGATTGTTGAAAGCGAAGCCTTTATTTGGTATTTTCTTCACTGGTCATTATTATTATTATTATTTTTCCCGATTGTCATATGCAAGAGGAGCAACGGTACTTAATCGAAACTAGGGATGGCAGCTTTCCCCGTGGGACGCGGATGGGGACAAAAGTAAACTAGTTTAGTAGCGGTTGTTAAGGATTGTTTTAGTAGTTTAGTGGTTTTGAGGATTGGTTTTAAGGATTGTTAAAACTAGTTTAGTAGCGGATGTTAAGTTTGTATTTAGTAGGGTCAACCCCCAACTGATGGACCAAGCTTTGACTTTCTTTGCATTGCTGACCTCGTAACTGGCTCACCTAATTTTCAATCAACTTTGTTTGTTCAGTACGTTCTTCCAAAGTTTCTATACCTGTCCTAGCAGTCAGAACGTAACCCCTATTTTTTTACCTTTGTCCCATTTGTGTAGTCCTGCTTAGATGTTCTTGTCTTATTAAATGCTAGTATTTTCTTCTAAAGAATTGAATGATATAAGTATATAACCATGGAAAATTACTTGCTCAAAGTCGTTTAGACTTTGTTATTATTATTATTATTTTCACTGCAATGAAAGTTTCTTGCTTTTGTTTTATGAATTGACTCTCGGCGCTCTTGGGTTGCCCGGTGCAGTGATTCATGAGCCGGTTGGGCCAACACCACATTCACAGTTTGAACATTCTTCAATTCCTGCAACTGTAAAAAAGCTATTCAACCTGAAATCAAACTTCTTGACAAAGAGGGATGCATGGGCTGGTACTTTTGAAAACTACTTTAAGCTCCGCGACAGTCCACGCGATGATTGTCCAGGTTTGCTCTCATCTCCATGATCACTATTGGATTATATATTGTTGTCGTTTCATAAGATCTACTGAACTTTGTGCTCTTTGCTACGTATATATTAAGAGAATCTATCTTCTTGCAAAACTTCTTTCACTTGCCATCATATTCATAGTAGTAGAAATCTGCCATATGACCACACATGATAGAAGTCCCAAATTAGCTCATTATACGCCGACAGTTTTGCGATCGGGGAATATTTATTGCTATAGTGGTTTACTTCCTAATTCTGAGATCCATATGCAGAAACTCTTCCTGAGGTGAAGCTATCACTGAGGCCCTGGGGACCCAAAGAAGACGCAAGACTCTCGGAGTTCCAAGTCGAGCTAATCCAGTTGGCATCGCAGCTCAATGGTGATTACATGCTCAATACGTACCCCAACATCGGGAAAACCATGACAGTGGGTGAAGCCAACAAGTACGCAGAGGATGCAGTCAAGAGGTTCCTGGAGGCTGGAAGGGCTGCTCTTAAAGCCGGAGCTAATGATACGGCAATAGTTACCATGAGACCTTCGCTGACTAGTCGAATTAGCACTGGAGGTACCAGAAACTACTTGGAGACCTATTGACTGTAAATACCATTTATCTAGCCTATGTAAAATTGTTAATGATTAATTGGGCTTTAAGCCGTGATTATAGTTATGGAACATGTTTGTGCAAAGTTGTTCCCATGTCATAGCCAAGTTCTGTAAACTGGATTCTATATTTAAAGAAATGTATTTTATTTACTATAAAACCGGTTCTTTGTTTAGCTGAATTTGGGACGGGGAAATTCTGTTTTAAATGGATCCAGATTATAAATGGGTTAAAATGTTAACCCGCCGTGGGTTGCAGAGCGGGGACGGGTTTAGGTGTCCCTGACTTTTTTTCGGGTTTAGCCGTCCTTTTAATTATATCATATTTTTAAATTAGATAGATTATGTAAAATATAATATATAATTTTAAGTATAATCTATTACATAATATATATATATATATATGAAAATTTAACTATTTTTCTTTATTTTTAACTTAGGGTTCTTTTGGTAATATTTTTAAAATGATTTTTTTCGGTACAAAAATGAAAATGAGATTGTTTTGAAAATTATTCTGAAACTGATTCTAAAATTACGTTGGGTGGTTTTTCAAAAGATTGGTTTGAGTATGATAAAAAAGTGAAATCGTATTTGGTTACATTTATGTTTGTTTTAAGTACATGTAATTAATAATCTTAAATTAATATATTAGGTAATTAATAATTCATAATTATTTAGCAAATAAAAATTAATATATTAATAATATAACAATAATTGATAAATTATCATTAATGAGTACATTAGTAATTAAACTGTATACATAATAAATTAATATGTTAAATAATTAAAAAATAGTAATTAGTAATTAATTATAAGTAATTACTATGTTAGTAATGTACTCATATTTATTAGATTATAAGTAATTAATTAGAATAATTAGTATATACATAATTTGTTAATATTCCGTTTACTACTTAAATTATTAACTTTTAGCTACATAATTAAATAATTGGTTAATTAATTACTAATGTTTATTTAATAATCTATTATTTGATATATCACATGATCAATTTTTGGTAATTGTTATTTTTATAATGATTAATTACTAATTATCAATTATTAATTATTATTGATTAGTATATTACATATTGATAATTATAATTTAATATTAATTAAATAATTACTATTTATTTTTTATTTACCAACTATTTATTAATTAATAGATTATAATTAACCTAATATATGATTGATAATAAATTAATATTTAATTAATAATTAAGTAATTACTGTCTATTTATTAGTTATTAAGTATATCTATTTATTAATTATTAATTAATATATAATATAATTAATTATTAATTATTTAATATAACATTGTTGATAAGTACTAGAAAATGAAAACGAAAAAGAGAAAATTTTTAATCGTTTTCTACTTTCTTCACAAAAATCATTATCATTATTTTTTATTTTTGTTTCCGTTTTCAAAACTTTTATTAAACAGACGCGATTTGTAGACCGTTTTTATTTTTGTACCTAAAAAGATGTGCGAAAACGTTTTTAAAAACATCTAAAAAACAATGCCAAACGCACTCTTAATGTTTCGTGTGTTTGTATTTTTTAATTATTTAGTAATTTATTTTAAAATAAAAATAATTTATTAGGTAAATGGGGCAACGCGAAAACTCCAAACCCGTGACGGGAAAATCCATCTTGTAAGCCTTTAACTTATGCGGGTTCATGAGACATGTATGATAAGTATTTTTATTTACAGGACAGGTTAACGAGAAGACCACACATCCTAAATCCGCCCCTTTGCCTGTCATTTTTCTTTATCATTGCCCCTTGAACCTCAACAGATTACTGGGTCAAGTTATTTCAACAATATGTTCAATAAGATGTTAAGAAATTGTATCAACTTTCTTTTCAGTAATTTACTAATTTAAGCGCGGACTAATAATTAACAACCGAGTGCAAATTGGATAGCAAATAATTGTGTTGGATATTTTTCTCTTTTTTCTTTTTTTTTGGTTGTTTCTAGTTAAACTTGCAAAATTGAGAGATAAATGCTTACTATGTGCCACCAAGTTGTCTTTATTGTATTATAATACAAAAAGTTGGCATATTATATTTTTAAATAAAGGGATAATCCGAAAGCAGTCGGTATTTTTTTTAAAAATATCACTTTCACTTTTTTTATCATCTAGCCTCATTCGTTTCGCTGATTCGAGTTTAAAATTTGAGTTGAGATGTGATTTTATGTGAGAGCTTTTTACTGTAGTAAAAAAGTTAGATGTGACTGTTTGTGATAACTTTTTACTGTAGCAAAACTCAAATTCTAAACTCGAATCAGCGAAACGAACGAGCAAACACCCATGTGTTTATAAAAACATGCTGAAAATACTCATGAAGCGGTTAAATTTTAAAAAATGTCATTGTTACACTTCGTCATCTACATTAAATATTATTTTAAATATAATTTAATTACAAAGTTAAATAAAAAAATTTTAAAAATGCTCATATAAATATTCTAAGAAAAAAATATTTCAATTATGTTGAGAGTTTTTAACAAAGCGTAGTTTACCTGTCGGTCTCTACCTATATAACTTGCATCGACGTTGGTACGTATTTTAACAAAGCGTCCAAATCAAACTGAAACTGCGAGGATCTTTGGAAAAAACCGGTCTCATCATTTTTGCCACAATATATGGGCATCTACCGAAATCCTAAGCTATGCGTATGCTCAATCTGAAGAAAGCAATGGTCAGTTTTACGCTGATTATATGCACAAGCAGGATGAACAATCGTGAAGAGACGACCTATTTATTGATTTGTAAAAGCATGCTTTTGCTTCTATGCGGATTATTATTCTTGTAGACTTGTAGTTATTGTTTTAGATTTAGATTATGATTTTTTTTTTTTAAAGAAAAAGAAAATTGAAATACGAAGTTAAAATTGCCATTATTAAATGGTTTGGTAGATGAAAAGTTTCAAGTTTCAGAAGCATATTGGCCCTTATTGAGGCTAAGGGCTTCATCTCCCGACCTAAATAGTAATGATTCTGTCCAAACATTCGTTAATATGCAGGAACGCCAATGATCATGCTCCCAAAAAAAAAAAAAAAGCACCTTAAACAGCTACCCCTTCCCCACAGTACTATTCAATACCTAAACATATGGAGCTATGAAAATATACTCCTTTCCAGAGAATTACAACTTACAAAGATGGTATATAATTTCCGTAGCAAATATTCTTAACGTAATAAGAGGGGGACACAGCGAAGATGGTGTACACACAATTGATACGTGAATTATTTCATTTCCATACAACAACAACAAGCCTTAATCCCAACTTAATTGGGGTCGGCTAACTATTTCATTTCCATATTTGAGTTAAATATATATAAGCTTAAACCGCCACATTGACCAATTAGAAGAATGGCCATATAAACAACAGGTCTCACAATTCGGAGAACATTTACAATACCAAGGCCAAACACCAACGGTTCACAATGTCTCAAATAAATTTACGCGACAACTAATATATACAGACAGTGTCACAATGCTTACCGGACATGAGAATCATAGGGGATATATACAGGATCTGGAACAACTAGAGGCAATTTATCAATGTACATGAATAGCCTCTTACGATCCTCTCTCAAAATGGTCGCTAAATCAATAACCTCAGACTTTTCTGTGTAGACCCAAAGATCTCCCGAGTTAACCCTCTTCAGGCTGTCCCGACAGAAGGGACAAGATTGGGACCGCCCACGCCTGAAGCATAGAGAAAACAAGACATGAGCTTAATCAGTATCAGATGCACACAGCAATAGGCGACTTTATTGTTTTGCAGTTTTCTTAAGGCGTCTCTGCCTGTCCTATATAGTCCCTTTCTTGGACTGAAGAATGGCTCAGTAGTGGAGAAAGTACTTAAAAGGATTAGTGAAAAAATTTCCCCATATAAGGACTATGCGTGCTGAGAGAAAACAAGTTAACAAAAGACTAGTTTGGTGAAAAAAAAAAAAAAAAGTAGATAAATAAAAGAAGAACCACCATTTGAATGTGTCTGATGATTTTGTCGTATTTGCTTTGGGTTCAATAAAAAGATGACGACGTGTGATTGTTAGCATTTCTAATTGAGTTATTTTGTTGCATTCGTCATTCGAAACAACAAGGATGGACTTAGAGAAACCTCTCCCAATGATAGATACAATAACAAAACAAGGAAAAGCTAAGACTTGAACAGTGAATGGCGCCCAAGAATGAGGTCTATTACATTACCCCCTTTTCTTATGTCGCCAGTGGTAGTCAAAACAAAAAGGACAGGAGAGAAATAATAACAGAATCTTACCAATCCCGATAGCATTTTAAGCACATCGAATGGCTGCAGTTAGGCAATACAAATTTGCTGTTCACCTCCATGCAAATTCCACACTCTTCTTCTCTTTCTTTGTCAATTTCGGAGAGTTTACCCCTTTCCGACTCATCCTTTCTTTTGTATCTGACATTACATACATCTTTCTGTTTCCTGTCCTCCAAATCCGTGATGCCTTTCTGAAGTTGCAATAGAGAAGGAAATATAACAGCTGCCCAGAAAAAAGCCAGAATGATAAGCACGTAAATAAAACATAAAATGATGTTGTCACAAGCTAAAATTCACTTATTAACTTCAGTGAATCTTCAGTTTGAATACCACTCACCATAAAATTCTCTGATGCTTGCTTTCCTTTCATAAATGGACATAGTGGTTTTGCCATCTGCAAAGGTCTAATGCACCACATTGCCACACCCCAACAAAGAAGCAAGTAATAATCAAATTACTACATTGTTGAAGGGGACGGGATGAAAAACCCATAACAAAATTTTAATTCAAAATTGAAAAACAGGTAAGGATTCAAACAGACATAACCGAGCCAACAAATTGGTACAAAATAAAGTTGACACAACAATAAATTACCATATAAATATGAATCCTAAGCAAACCAAGCACTCCAGCAAGGTGGCAATCAGTCCACTGAACGAGGAAAAGAAAAAGGTGCGCCACTGAACTGTAAGATAGTCTCATCTGGAGACGGGCTCCATCTTTCTCCCTTGGATAATCTAATGCCCTGAAGTAACAAGAGGTAAAAAGAGTCATAAAATCACAACATCAATAAATATCCATCAATGATCAAATCACAAAAGCACTACAAAATGCACCTATTTTGCAAAACGTTAAGAAAAGGCCTTGAAGAAAAGAAAGGGCCCGAAAATATTATGCAAACCGGAGAGTTCAAAACTTTTTACTAAACGTAATAAGAATCCAAAATCCCTGAACCCCAAATGCTAAACACATTAAATAAACTTCTAAAGCATAAAGGGCCATGCCAAACAGGCAACAATGATTATAAGGCTCATGAGCACCAGAAAAGCAACGTAATGGGAGCATTTCAAAAAGTTCATCATACCCAAAATCCTGTTTGCTAGCTAGCAACTAGCAAGATATTTTTCAATAATTCATGTACCAGTAAATTAGCTGATTTTTGAGGATTGAAAACAAATAAATCTGACAAACTCAAACCAATACCATTCTACAGCTGAAAACCATGAATGTGATGCATTAAGCATTGAATGTATTCTAATTCACATAACTGAATCTATACGAATTATATCCACCAATTATACATTTAGCTTTCCCTGTCCCATAATTTCCCATAAATCCCAAACTTTATGGAAATGGTTAAATAGTAAAACGAAAAATTAAAAAAATAAATAAATAAATTTCTCTTTCGTTTTCTCAACTTGATGATGAGTTTATTCAGAACACACTAGCATACAACAAAAATCATTGTGCCTTATTCCAAAACACTAAAAAGTCAAAATATATTAAAAAGAGACAAAAACAAAAACAAACAAAAAAATCGCGAATTTAATAGAACGACATTCAGAAAAGAGGAACAAATATCTAAAATCCAAGACAAGAGAAAGGAGCTCACAGAGTATTGGCGTGCTGAATATCAGCTTCAAGCGCTTTGAGTGAATCCTTGAACGACTTTCCCATGGCCAGGTTTTTCCCGGGAAAATTATTCCCATCCAACAAACAAAATATCAGGAGGAGAAAGAAAAGGGAAAAAAAAAAAAAGAACGAAACGGATAAAAATAGAAACCCTAAATTATTCAAGCTTTTATCTTGCTCAGCTTTTCAAGATCAAAACCCCAAACAGTGCAATAGGACAAACCCGGAGGCCACTCTTTCACACCATCATAAAAAGAGATGGAATACTGTAGGACAGACACTGAAATTACCGCGTTACCCTCGTCTCGCTGATATTGACTTTGAGAAAAATCTTATCCATCTAACTGGGAGTTGGATCCTCTGTACTTGAGACCTTGTCTTTGACTTCTCTACCTCCAATAGTCTTGCGCCGCGGTGAGCTTACTAATGTATTTAGGACGTGTCTATTGTTTATTGGCTGAATGAATAACTATGGTGGAGACCCGAGTATGGGAAGTAAAAAAAAACCAGAAGACGCGGCCCCAAGGTTTTATGATCTCGGCGGCTTTAACGTAAAATGACCTTACGGCCCAGCCTAACCGTGACTAATTACGATAACATTAATTATGCACCCTCCATTCATAGTAACTATTAACTTCAAGATTTTTTTTTTCTTTTTTAAGGTTTTTATTATTGAACAAGGACACTGATTTTTTTTTTTTAAATATTCATAGACCTTATTTGGGTCAGGACTCAGAAAGTTCCAAATAATATAAAAAAAAAAAAAAAAAAACGATTTAAATAAACTAATTCTCCTTTTTTTTTTTTTGCTAAGCAGTTTTTTTTTCTTTTTTTTTTATTTGGATAAGGTATACTCATCCTAGTCATTGTGCCCCAATCTTCCTCTTTTGACACGTGAAGCAATCATTGGTTAATTACTTAATAATTAATTCTTTCTGACAATTCATGTGAGTGAGGGATCCTTTCATTTTATAATCTCTTGTAACTTTAAAAAGTCTGCTTTCATAATCTTGGGGTGGTTATTTTCAAAACGAAAAAAACAGTCATAATTAAACCATTTGCCAATTTCGAGAATACAGAGTTTCAAATCTAAAATGAAAAATAGTTCCAGGGTGCTGACAAATATATCTTTATTATTTCTGACAAATTCTTTGTTGCCAATTTTCCATCTCAACATATTCTAAAAAAAAAAAAAAAATCCACCTCAACATCTGTAACAAACAAATAAAGAACTAGAAGAAATAAAGGGGACAATGAGGTTTTTTGGATTCTCCAATCTAATAATAATAATAATAATAATAATAATAATAATAATAATAATAATCTAAATCTAATTTTAGAAGACGTTTAGTTTATTAATTAAAATCATGAGATTAGAACTATTTTCGATTTACGTGTATTTTTTGTGAGAAAATACAGTAACAAATCATAAACCATGATTCGAATCAGGGTACGAATTTTCTTACCAAACGTCCCCTTACATAAAAGAGTCAAAGAGAATAGAATGCTCCTCTTTTAGTTGTGTGTCAATCTCTCTCTTTTTTTTTCATATTTAGTTTTTTATTTTTTACTTTTTCTATTTCGTTTTTTTCCCTTTTGCTTATAACTTATATACAGTTTATTTTTAACATTTTCTTTTCTAGACATTTTTTTTCTTTTTTTCTTTTGCTTATTGTCTATTTTTGTTTTTCTCTCATATTTTTTGACAAACTTTTTTTATTTATTTACAATATCCTTCTTTAAAATACATTCTCTCTCACTTTGTCTTAATTAAAATAATTCCTTTCAAATATCTCTCTATTTAAGTGTTTTTTTAATAAAAAAACTCCTATACAACTTTATTTCTTTTTCCATTTTTTGAAATATTTTTTTTTCATCATACTCTAATTAATGGATTTAGTCTCTAAAGCGATCACATGTTCTGACGCGGGATCAAACTTACATAGTTATTTTACACATGCATAGGACATGGCTCAACTAGTAATAATAATAAGGCAAAAGAGGCTTTAGACTTATTGTGATTAGAGAAATGCCAGCACCACTATTTTTATCACTATTTTTGTCACGTTTTGCATTTATTATTTAACACGTGTATTCTATTAACATGATATATTATTATTTAAATAAAAAATAAAGTAATGGAATTCACATGTCAAAGAACGATTATAAGAAATGACAAAAAGGATGAGAGAAAGAGTGATGTTAACGTTTTCTTTATGGTTGATATATTTGTTCTTACTCTTCCAAATTTGTCACCGAAATAGACCTTCCGGTATTGTTCATTCTAAATTTCTCTTAATAATTAAAAAATTAAAAGGAAAAAAACTGACAAAGAGAATCAAATACATTACAAGTAGTACTCAATTATTCTTAGAAAAAAAAAAGGTAGCACTCAATTAATTAAGAGAGAGAAAAAAGAGTACACAAGGCAACAACATAACTAAAAGAATATAACACTTGTTAGCCCTCAATTTGGGTTGCAAACAAGCACGTTCTTGTCTGAATTCTAAAACGATTCTCTAAGCTATAACGGTCAACTTGCAAACAACCATCTGCATCACCTTATCTAACTCGGTCACTCCCTTCAATTTAACTTTAAGCTTGTTTATTTTATTTTATTTCATCTTACTGTTTTTTTTTAACCTTGTTTGTTTAGCTTCTTAAATTTTAGTACTACTATTTTATTTGTCATATTGGATACAGTAATATATGAGTAATATATTGTGTCAATATATTAAAAGTACATTTTGTTAATTGATTTTGATTGAATGGAAATTATATGTTACTACTTATTGGATTTTAAGAGTGATATACAATGTTGATATATTAAAAGTATATTTGTTAATTGATTTTTATTGATTGATAATAATATGTTGATACTAATTAGACTCTAATATTCATTGTTAAACCTAGACTCATAATTTAACAGTTTAATATTAATATCAATATATATTGATAAAGTTAATATTACTTCACTCTCTCTATTTTTTATTAATACAAAAATATTAAGGCAAAAGAGGGTACATGCCACAGTCAGGTCATTGGTGCAAGTAGTAAAGAAACACCATTCTTTCCTTAACCTAGAATCTCTGAAAAAGAAGAAAAAAAAAATCCCAAGTGAGAAAAATAGAGAGGAATTTGAGCTTATTGTGTTCGTTATGCATTTCCTTTTCCAATCATTTTAACATCGAAAGGATAAAAAAAGTTCGGTATGCATTTCCTTTTGAATCTCTCAGCCAATCTATTCCTTTCTACTAAATAAAGATCCGTCTGAAAAATAATGCACCAATCCTCTCACTCCTATCCTTTCTTCTACTTTTCGTCCGTGCCAAACAAAAGCTCGATCCATTCATCCTAAATTTTGAAGGCTGTGAATCGTGACATACATTTCTGCATCAGAGGCACCTAATGTTGTCCCTGTCTAACCTACTATTAAAAGTGAGGTCAATCTTATTATGGTTCCAAAGTTTTTGAGTAAGTTAGCTGGATTAGTGCATGGTATTAAAGGTAGAAGTATGAATTAAGGGTGGTTTGATATTCTATTGATAAACAGAGGACAAATAAGTTTATAATATTGGAAGGAATTAGATGAAATTCATTTTGTTAAGATTCCTATTATCTGCACAAACAATATTAGAGGGGGGCAAAAGATAAAAACCAAACAATAATGAAGTACAGAACATAGATTGGCTATGATTTAAATCTTGATTAACTATGCTTGGAAGATACATATTAATTGTCTGCGTCTTTTATATACAAATATTGATATATAGTCATAGAGCTAGAAGAAGCTATAACATTATTCTATATGCAAATCAACCAACTTAAGATTGATTAACTAGGCAATAGCAGAAGCTATTCTACTTTGTAGGGTTCACATTCAAATATATGCTAAAACGGCCTTAAGAGCTTTGCATAATATTATTACAAATGCTCCTAAAGGAAATAAAAAAGAATTAATTTACTTTTAATCGAAAGTCGCTTATTTTCTACCGCCGTAGCGTCTCTGTCTTTGCTGAAACGAAACTAAGGCCTCTCCAAACTCATCTTTCCCAAAATCAGGCCAGAGATCGGGTGCGAAGAAGAGTTCGGTGTAGGCCAATTGCCACAACAAGAAGTTGCTGACTCTAAGTTCGCCGCTGGTTCGGATGAGCAGATCGGGGTAGGGAAACTCGGTACAATTTGTTTCTAATTCTTGTTCTATCAAGCCCTCGTCTATGTCATCAACTTGTACAAGGCCATCTTTCACTTTGTCAGCAATGCTTTTGCAGGCTTGGACGACGTCGTATTTCCCACTGTAGCTTACCGCCACAATGAGTTGGAGCTTGGAGTGTTCTTTTGTTCTCTCCTCTGCGTCTCTAATCAGTTTCTGTAGGGATTCTGGGAGTCTTGACGAGTCCCCAATAACAGATATTCTTATACCTTGCCTGTCACGACAAGAAATGTGTGAAATGTGAATGAAAGTTGTTTTGTTGAGTGCTTGTTTTGCTGTTTTTGGAATTTATGGGACAAGATAAAGCAAATAGATGGTCAACTCTCAAAGAAACAAATCCATTGAATTAGAAATAACAGATATATATGGACAAAGGAAAAACAACAACAGCAACAACAAATACGTTGCATGTCAATCAATTCTGTTAAATGGAACCTGCGCCTAGTTCTGTAGTTCTATGATTGGTGATTGGTAAGGTGGTCATCACTAATCATGATTGTGGTGACAAAATGTTTGGTGATATGCTTCAAGTCTTTTAAAAGTGATTATATTTTGGTCTACGGTCCCGCTCTACAAAAAAGCCATAGATGGAATCGTCATTTATAGCACTAAAATAAATTTTTAATTTCTTTTAAAAAAAAGGAAAAGAAAACTTTAGTAAAATACAGCTTATTAGTTGAATATAGCTTTTAACCATCAAATTTCTGTTAAATTATTTTATCTTTTTTAACATGAACAATTGTGATTGTTTACAACTACTTGATAGAAAAAGGAAAAATAAAAAGAAACTGTAGACATATGACTATGATACAACAATCTGCTTCTACGGTGAACATTCGGTAGCATACCCCAGTCCTTACCTTGCAAATTTGTCCAGTTCTGACTTTATCACTCTTTCAAACAAGCTCATCAAAAACTCAACCTCCACCTAACATAACCACCAAAACCAATCATTACCAACCTCAAAACAAAATCCAACCAAAAAAAAAAAAAAAAAAAAAAACAGACAGAGAGCTTCGAACATTTCATAGCTCAAAATAAAAGGTCAAACATGAACAAAACAGTTGACTTATCATTACTCACCGTGGGGCGAATCCAGTTATCGTAAGAGAAAGCGAAAACCGTGAGAACCTTGATTCCCCATTGCCAGCAGAGCTCCACAATAGCTCGAAGCGACTGTACGCCGGCCTCGTGCCCTGCTCCCGGCGGAAGCCCTCTCTGCTGGGCCCACCTCCCGTTTCCGTCCATTATAACCGCCACGTGCTTCGGCATCAGCTCTAGGTTTAGCCCCTCCGGCAACTCCTCCTCCTGAGGGGTAGCTCCGTCATTTAACTTCTCTTCTCTCTCCTCTTTGACCGCCGCATCGGCCGCGGTGGCGCGGGGTAAGTGAAGCTTCGGCTCCGACAGAGACGGCGAGCAGAAGAGGTGTGTTTGGGTCTTGGAGTTGGGGAAGCGCTGAGGTTTGGGCTTAAGCGGGGTAAAGACGTTCTCACTCGGAATAGGGAGGCGTAGGGATAGCATTGTCCTCGTTTTTCAGAATGAGAACTTCTTCTTTCTGTTTTTTTTTTTTTTTTGTTGTTGTTTGTTATGTGAAAGGCTCGAAGTTCTAGAATGCAGTGGAGAGAGTGTTGAATATATAATCGTATTGCGAGCGGGAAAGGCTGTTGCAGAGAAGAAAACAAAGTCGGGGAAAGACAAAACGGGACGTCGTTTTGAGGATTGGCATATGAGGTGGGACTCTTTTCATTTTTGTGGTGAGTCTAAAACGATTAAGATTGATTCTCTTACTCGTAACAATTTTTTTTAACCAGAAAAATAAAATTGTCTTGATGATCAACAAATTGAATTTTGGCGAAGAAAGGACGTAACTTTGATGATGAAGGTTCTAATTTGTCGGGTTTCTTGATAATCTTCGCGTGATGTTTGGAATAAGGTACGTATACCACAACTTTTTATTTTTATTTTTATTTTTATTTTTTCTGGCTCGTGGGCTCTAAATAAAATTTGAGATGTAAAGAAATGGAATGGAATTAAGGACGACACATGTTTGAACCATGAATGGGGCTAACGAGACGACAATATCTAGAATTTTCATGTATACGCCGTCGTGATGCGACTTGAGTTTCGTCCATGTTTAAGTCATGATTGAGATCCTCTGAAGTGTAATTCTGCACGATGGGAGACCATTGATATTCAATCCATGACCAAGTGATGGCAGTGTTTTTCCATCGGAAATTTCTGATCAAGTACTTCTTCCTAGCATGGGTCCCACACATAGTCAAGTGGATGATGAACAATTACGTGAACACCAGTAATTATCTTTAGCAAAATTACAAGGGAAAAGAAAATATTAATCTCGAATTCTTAGTACGTTATAGTATAAGTTGAACACCAAATACACCTATAATAAACTTTTAATTACCATATTATTATTAAAAGCATAGAACATCTGAATATAAAATTCCAAAAAGGAACTAAAATAAAAAGAGTAAAAAAAGGACTAAAATGAAGAAATAAAAAGTTTTAGGGTAAAAGGGACTAAAATGGGGAAAAAAAATAAAGTTTCAGGGTAAAACAATGTGTCAAAAAAGGATCAAAATGAAGAAATAAATAAGTTTCATAGCAAAAGGAACCAAAACTACAAAATAAAATAAAATTTAAAGAAAAAATAAAAAAAAAGTAAGGAAAGGATTAAAATGAAAAAATAAATAAGTTTTAGAGTAAAATTGAAAGAAGATAAAGTTTTAGGGCAAAAAAAAAGCCAAAAAAGGACCGAAACGAAGAAATAAATAAATTTTAAGGTAAAAGGAATGAAAACAGGAAAAAAAAGATAAAATTTCAGGACTAAAATAAAAAGAAAGGTTAAAAAATGATTAAAATGAAAAATAAATAAGTTTTAGGACAAAGGGAACCAAAACAAAAAAATAAACATTCAGTACAAAAGTAAAAGAAAAAGGGTAAAAGAGAACCAAAATAAAGAAATAAATAAGTTTTAGGGTAAAAACAACTAAAACGAAAGAGAAATAAAATTTCAGAAAAAAAAATAAAAATGGGCAAAAAAAAAGACTAAAATGAAGGAAAAAAAGCTTTTAGATATCACCAAAAAGAAATATCAAAGTACGATAACATCTAAAAAAATTAATTTAGGTAAATGAAAGAAATTTTTTTTAAAAAAAGGTAAGAACAAAAAATATAAATCTAGGATAAAAATAAAGGAAAAAGAGAAGATGGAAAGGAAAAAAAAACCGTTAAAAGCAAAAAAAAAAAAAAAAAAATCAAAACGTTTCTTAATATAATGTATAGATGAGCGTTTTACAGAAAGATATGAGAAAATACTTTACAGGTAAGATTATGTTTGGAACTGTCATATTTATATAAGGTTCTGTTAGCATTATATATTTTATTTTGATGTGGTTTTATCAAGTTTATGGTCTAAAAACATTTTCTACCTTATATGTAGAAAGCTTGTTATAGAATAATGGAATTCATTAAACAAAAATCCGTTGATTTGACACCCTCTATCTTTACTAAAATGTTACAAATATTATGGGTAATATCACAAATCGCTCTAAATTTAGAGCATTTCTAATACAATATTATAATTAATGTGCTAACTGTAAATTTAACATTTGAGTACAAAAAACATTCTCAACGCAATGTTATTTATTGTGCTAAATTTATCATATGCTATACTTTATAATAAATTTTTCACCAAGTATAACATATAGTAAATTTTGACGCTTGATTCATTTTAGTTGATATGGTTACTTTTTCAATTAATCATTATTACTTTTAATTTTCCTGATTATTTTGAAATTAAAAGTTTACTTTTACAACTTTCAAAGTTTAATGATTATAGGAAAAATAGATTTTAGCATTTCAAATAACATTATACATTGAAACACAACATGTCAAATATCTTATTATCACACTTTTTGGTGTCAAATATACATTTAGCATTAGCATTTGCACTAGAGATGGTGTTATCATGTCATTTTCAATTTAAAGCTTGTTTGCATCATAGTTTCTAACATAAAAGTTTGAACATAAATTTAATTTTACAAGAGAAAATATTGTATTAAAAAGGTATGAACTATGAACCTATGGAATTAACAGTCTAAAATATTGTCTTAAAAAGATATGAACTATGAACCTATGAAACAAACATACCATTAATTAGTTCATGACTTTTAAAATAAGATAAATGAGACAAATAGCTTTTACACTCTGTTTGGTATGATGAAAAGAGGAATGAATAAAGTGGGTGGAACGATAATTGGGTGGAAAATGATAAAGTGGGTTGTTTGCTAGGAAGGAAGAGAGGAGGGAAAGAAAAATATGGTGGATAAAAGTTGTTGTGACGCCACTAATTTTTATCTCTCAAACATTGGGTGAAAAACTTAAATCCGCCTATTGATAACTAAATAACTTTTTTACCCTTATTTTAAAGTTAAATAAATAAGGGTAATAATTGGTAAAATAGTCATTAAGTCTATTACATATTTTATTTTCTCCCGACATAGTAAATAACATAAAAGAAAATCAACTTCTATCCTTTTATTCACATTTTTTTTCTTTTATGTGTTTTCTGTAACGCCCTCTAGAATTAAACATGTTTAATTATGCTAAACTGTGGATGATTAGTGTGCCTAATTTCATTTTCATAATTAATCAAGGGACTTTAAGTTATTTTCAGTATTTATAATTTCACCCCAAAGATTTTTGAAAAACACACTTAAATTTAATACATTTTCCCTTTTTCCATTTTTCTTTTTCCTTTTCTTTTTTTTTTCTTCTCTGGTTCTTCCCGTGCACCAACCCATCTCTCTCTTTCTTCATTTTCTTCCACCGCCGGCCACATCCTTCTCCGGGCTTCCTTCCGCCGGCTTTCTCTCTCTCTCTAGATTTATCTCTGCAGTTTGGCCGTGAAAAAAAAAAAAAAAAAAAAAAACAGATAAATTGAGGGAGACAAAGCTCGAGCAACTAGTTTGAGGTAAAACCCTTTGAAACCCACTCTTTGATTCGAATTTTAAGCTTGAGAAAGTTTGATTTTGGTTAGATTTGAATAATTTTGAGTTAGGGTTCGAGTTTGAACAGTTATTATTAGAATCGAATGAAATTTGGGGGTTTTTAGTTATTGGACTTGTTTAATTGATTAGAAACAGATTTTGATGGATTCTGGAGAATATATATTGAAATTGGACTTGATTTGCAGGTTTGACATTTTTCCTATTTATACCGGCATGCTGCCGAAATTTCTTTAGAAACTTTTTTTTTTTAAACTGAAATTAAATAAGAAAACTAAACCTATGGATTGGATTCTAATTTTTAAAGAACCCCCAAACTGAATTATAAAATTATTGTGAAACTTGGATTTGAGTCAAGGCACACTAATAGGAAACAATTAAACATGATTGAACTTAATTCGTTTTAGGAATGAGAAATACTTCCTAAGATATTACTTTTGTGATAAAGCTAGTGGAGAAGGTCAAGTAGTAAGGCTTTAAGGAAAGCGGAGGCTATGAGAACTGAAGGCTAGCCCAGGTTTGACATCCGAGAGGTAGGATATTCTTGTCCATATCCTTGTTAGCCTCATTTTAAATTATTTTGGCCAATGAAAATGTTTTAGAACAAAACATGTTTAAAGAAAATAATTTTAAAGAAATAGCATGAGAATGCTATTACGTTTTTCAATGATTTTGGAAATGAGATTTCAAAGCGTATCATTTCTTAAAATGAAATATTTTAAGGAATGATACAATGCATGGTGGCCTCAGAGATCGGGATGTGGGAATTGCATTTTTGAGGGCAGATCCCGAAACCCGTACGGATCCACTTCTTGTTTAGTGGAATTATGGCTCTGCACTTTTCATTAGACATACATTTTTTATCGCTTTTTGTTTAGTGGTATGATGAGCTACACACTTTCATTATACAGACATATTCTATTATGTGAGTATTTTCTTTTTTCAAGAAAAGGATGATCGGTTTCGGGTGTATATCTTCGGACCGTGAGTACTTTTATTTTAAATGTTTTATAAAATTATATCCTACTGGGTCTTTCGCTCACCTTTTCCTGTTTTCAAATGTATTAAACCCCTCCAGGCGACGCCAGAAGTAGTGCGGAGTAGGTAGCTATTACCGGCGACGTGGACTTGTTTCAGGAAAGCGAAGAGTTGTATTTCCTCTAATCCCTTATCTCAAGGCATGTATAAAAGATTATGGATTGTAAACTTAAATATTACTAGATTGTGGTTGATGTCACATTTACTCTTGTTTATATTCATGTATGCTAAACACCTGTGGGAATTCCTGACATGATACCAGGGACGTGGTTTTAAACTGGTTTGGTTGGAAATTCCACCACCATTCTTGAAATTAAATTTCTCTTGAATGCAGGGGCTTGTTTGGAAATACCTGGATGTTTTGAATTTGAAAAAAAAAAAAAGAAAAATATTATAATGTTTGCAACATTATATGCTAATCATTCTCTTAAACGGGTTTAAGTTTCTAAACAAGCCTCCACGTCACTAACCCCAGTTTAGGGGCGTGACAAGACTTGGTATCAGAGCCCTTGGTTTAGAAC